TACCTTCCCAGGCTCTTTTATTTACAAACATGATCTCATGGAGTGGTTGAGTTTCCTGGGTAGCGTTCAGATTTGCAGTCGTCCTGCCTCAGCCTCCCAGAGCGCTGGGATTATAGGAGTGCACCGCCACACTAAGCCAGTGTAGCGCTTGTACACGTCAGCATACAGGAGTGGACATTGCAAATGATGAAGGCAGAGTGGATACCAGTTGAAGGAGAATAAAAAATTATGAAATTATATTTGAAGAATTCAGCCTCTTCTGTCAGCAATTGAAAGATCAAGTAGGTACCAAATCAGAAAGGCCACACAAACATCACTAACTGACTGCATCTACCTGCCTTTGAACACTATAAAAGTGGCATGTATACTTTTTCCAACATGGAATGCATCCTGGGCCATAAAATGAGTTTAAAGAATTGCAACCACACACTATCCTTTGACAACGAATTAAACCAGAGGTAAAGACCAGAGAGTTATGAAAAAAAATACAAATGATGAAAAATTATTAATAGATTTCTAAATAACACATATGTAAAAGATGAAAGCGGCAGAGAACTAGAAAATAATTTAGTACCGGGCTCAATGCAGGATCTTGCGCTTGCAAGGCAAGTTCTTGTGCGCTGCGCTCTCTCCCCGCCCCCACAAGCATTTTGCCAACAGCTATAGCCAACTGCTAACACAGTAGTTTGAGAAAAATCTATAGCTTTGGTAGCTGTATCAGCATGCAGACCCGAACCTGCTGTGCTGTGAGTCCGTTCCGAGAAGAAGAGCATTCAGCGTGAAGCGGGATGAAATTATACAATACAAATTCTCAATCTTTTCTATTTATTCATGTATTTGGTACAGAGTCTCGCTACACAGCTCAGACAGTAGTGATCCTCCCGTCTCAGCCTCGCTGGGATTACAGGCGTGCACCATCACGCCCAGTTTCGGTGATCAGCTCGGCATGGGGTGGACAGGGCATGCAGTACTGAGGATTGAACCTGGGTCCTGGCACTTGCCAGGCAGGCAGTTAGGCCACTGAGCTATCTCCCCAGCCGTCAATTAGATAATATGGATTCTAGAGTATGAATCAATGAAATATTAAATGTGATAGGAAAATAGTAAAACCCAAAGATGGGTTTTCAAAGATCAAGGGAATGGATAGCCAGGCTGATCTTCATGTAAAGGGGTAGAAAAGCTATCAGTATCAGAAAAAGAAACAAAGAACATTATGACAGATCCGACAGATACGGAGGACAGGGAAGTGTATAGGAGCAACTTCATTTCAACAAATTCAATGTGTTTGTTTCATAGTCAGAATTATCAGCTGAGAAAAGTAATCCTACTGTTGCTGAAGCATTTGCTCAGATTTAAACAGAAGCAATGTTAATATTGTTAACTCAGAAAGCATGTTGTGTGGTGAAACAAGTAAAGGTAATATATTTGGTTGAAGTACAGAAGCCTTTTCATAAAGATTATGTGCAACTGACATATTTTATCAAGTTACCAAACACTTCTTATTAAATACAAAATAATATAGGTCAACATCTCTATTGGATAAAGGGTGAACCTTTTCAGCAATTCTTTCCCTAGTATATTATCAAGCAAATTAAAAAATATATGTCTTCTGAACAAAGGTCATGTTTCCTTATGATATCTCTAAATTTCAAATATTCTCTCAAGAGGCCTGTATGTCCATCAAAGAATGAAGGACAAAGTAAATGTACCATTCCCGCATAATAGAATACTACTCTGCCATGAAGAATGATACATTGTAAGCATTCATAATAGGTGCAACTTAAGACCATGATGTTATGTGAAAAGGCAAACATACAAGATTAGATTGCATATTTTTTCTTATATGAGAAATGCAAAATACAAATAGACAGCAGAATAAGAGATAGAAAATAGGAAGTAGTAAGATCTTTTTCAAATGGGGAGGGAAACAAGACATGGAAGGAGAAAGAAGAGAAGAGATGAAAAGGGGATGACAATCGAAACTGAAGAAAGCAAAATGCAAAAAGAGCTCTTCCAAATGGGAAGAGAACCAAGAATTGCATGAAGCAGGGAAGAAGGGACCAAGAAGAATTAAGACCTGTCATGTTCATGGACCGGTTTTCCAAGATAAATGCACTCATTATGCGCTAAAGCATGTAGTAACAAAATGCAAACAAATAATTTAATGCAATGTCAATAACATTGTCAAGTGTGAATTGGTCGGTCTTTGAAGAAACACTGAGCATAGAAGCTTTGACACTTAAGTCAGATTCATTTGAGCCGCGTAATGCCTACAATAAGAACTATAAAGATTCCAAGATGAGAGAAGACAGCATTTTCTTAACACAGAAGGCGCTGGCTGGTGCGTGTCCACACACCTTCGCACCAGCGGGGGTTCTTACTTGGGCTGGAGGGGCCTGAAGAGATTCTCCTGAAGGTGCACCCAGAACGGGGGCGGCCGAGGACCGGGTTTTAATCAGGAGGAGGCGTGAAGAGCTTAGAGCGTGAGCAGGGCGCTGAGCAGAGGACCTGCGGCTCATGGGGATACTGAAAGTTAGGCAATCGCCTCTGCCTGCGTCACTTGCAGTTGCTTGATTTCCTCAAAAATACCTTCGAATTCCTGATTTTTCATCAAGAAACAATGATAGAATTTTGAAATGCAAAATAAATCTATATGATCAAATGAATACACATGCCTGTGCATGTCTACTCTCTACAGAGCTCACCTTCTGATATCAACGATCAGACATTTTAGAGAGAATTTAAGAACTTGATTAGTATGATACTACTAGAAGTCATTTGATAGAGTAAAAACTTCAAGTACTATGGAATTCATAAAATCATATTGGTCAGGAACACAGTGACATCTCTTAAAATGATCTTGAATTATTGATTGAAATTTGTGCTTTGTTACACTTTGTTACAGTAGTTCTTCTCCATGATATTTTGTTGTTGTTGCTGTGATATCTATCTAGTATATACTAGTTCATTTTAGGAGTTATGAAAAGTTATTGACTTAGAAATTATGGGATTTTATTAAAAAATTAAAGTATTTGTTGATATACTACTTTAAGATAGTGCATGACCTTATTTACCTGATATTCTTTTTTTTTTTTTTTTTTTTTTTTTTTTTTCCTTTTTTCAGAACTGGAGATTGAACTAAGGACCTTGTGCTTGCCAGGGAAGCACTTATTCCACTGAGCCATCCCCGCAGCCCTCTGATATGCTGATTAATTGCTTATTGGTCACTCAGTTGAAAAGGATAAATATCAGGGAGCACAGAACTTTGAGATCAGTAGTTTATCTTATCCCATAATTTATGCAACTTATAAGTCAAGGTAAGTTTTATTTTCCAAGAACTAGTTTTGAAGTTGATAATAGGCATGTACTATTTTTAAAGGCCATTGTAGCTGCTAGTCATGTCAACGCAGTTGTCACCTTATTACACAATACTGAATTTTAGTTTGATTACCTAATTTTTTCATATACAATACAAATCATAGTGGTCTTTGCAAATTTAGACTTGCTGAATTATCCCCAGCGACTTGCTGCTGACATATATGTTGAAGGTTTGGGTTAGTTGTGATACATTAGAAGTGAGAAGCAAGTTGGACACTTAACTTAGCGGACTGCGCCATCCGCCTTTGCTAAGAGAAATACAGACAGCGAGCGGGCATTGCACTGCCCTCAGTGAGCATTCCCACACACACTTGCTATTTCACCGTTTCCAGCCTGGGAGCAAGTATGAGCAGACTGTGAGATGCTTCAGTAATTCACAAAGATAAGTGGACCTCCGAGGGCTTTTCTTCTGTGCGGTGCAGTTTGCTCTCAGAGCCGGGGTGTTTGGGGAATGCTCGGCTCGCTCCTGGGCTAAGGAAGTGACAAGAATTTCACACACTCCAGGTTCTAAATATGGCTCCGCCTGCACTGGAGCCGACCTTGGAGAAAGTGCTTGGCAATGTGAAAAGGAGGCACAGAAGACAGGCACGGCAGGAGCTGGGCCAGCCACACTGCTGTTTAAAACTGGTAACAAGGGGGATTTCACCTGCAGCATGAAAGCCTGAGAGTGCACGGTTCACCAAGTGAGAACAAAAATACATGCAAGAGTGTAGGGGCTCATGTGGCCAATGTGGGGAACTCTAATAAAAATGTCAATGACCGGCAGTGGCAGGCTGGCGTCCTTGCCCTGTCCTGATTCCATCTGCCCAGGAAGTGTAGGCTTCCTTCGGTAAGCCATCCAAGCCATCAAAGCTCATCCCCAGACCTGACAAGCCATTCCCCCAAAGCAATGGCAATGTTCCCCAAACTTCAAAGGCAACCTTTGTATGCACAACAACAATCTAAAGCACATTTCCAACTCTTCTCTTAGGTTGTTTTCCATTGATTTAAATACTTTACCAACTCCAGGAAATTGTTACAAAAATAGAAGAAATACCATTAGAATAACGCATACAGTAACCAATTTTGAGATCAGTATCTCGTTGATTGGTAGAATATTTTAATAATTTGACCTCTGCTGCTTTTCCTGCTGCTGAGGATTCATATAAAGTGCAGGTTTCTGAATCCACCAGGCGAATGGGTGGTCAGAACCAAGGTGCTGTGCGGGGAGCTCCTCGTCACTTTCCCAAGCATCCAACTCAAACCCTGAAGGAGCTCACGAGACGATGAGCAGCGCGTCCTCCCAGTGTCCTTCTAAAGCTGGCCCCGACTGCAGAGAGCCTTGTGCTTAGCAGCCAATGTCAGACAGCCATGTTATCCAGAAAGCACCCCATTAATCTTTTAAAATCAGTCCTCAGTAACATAGTTGCCTTTAATTCCTCAATTTTGAACCCAAGTAAGAAAGAGAAAGAAGGGGATGGGGAGATGGCTCAGCGGAATAAGCGCTTGCCTGGTAAGCGCAAGGACCTAAGTTCAATCCCCAGTTCCACAAAACAAAAAAAAAAAAGGAAAAGAAAAGAAAGAAAGAGAAAGAAAGCAAATTCAAATAACATTTCCCCAAAAGTGTTGATCAACTCTCTTACCATCAAATGTTAAATAAACTCTTGCTTGGGGCTGGGAAGATCCGTTTACACAGACACAGCAAAGAAATGCTCCAACCAACACGCAAATTGCCCGGAATGCCATTTCTTCAGTTTGGAAAGTTAAATCCAAGAGAAAACACCTTCAAAAGAGAGATAACAGGCTTGTTATATCTTATTTCAGATTTTAGAAGTTATACAATTAAAAACAGCAAACTACACAGGACGATCTAATCATAAAAAATGCAAGTTAATTTTTACAGTAAACCAAACAGTAGGAGGTGCTATGACTTCGCTTCTCAGATGTGAAAATTAGATTTTATTTGTCTCTGGAAGACTTTGCAAGAAGAGAACTATTTATTTTCCAGCAAAATAATGCTAACATCACACTAGGAAAACACTGTAAGGAAAAACTTAGTGATTCCCCAAGGAAAACCCCACAACTTATTTGATTTTTCTCTTCAAAACTGGTTGCCATTAAAATAACTTGGGGGCTGTACCAACAGGGTCCCCCTCCACAGCTGCTTGAGTCCCGTAGCTGGGAAAGCGCATATGGACGCTGGTAGTAACGCCCACGCCTCTCCGGCAGGGAGCTTTCTCCAAGTCATTGCCTCTGAAATGCTGCATCTCGGTGTAAGTGTGTTTGGGCTTGGTCTTTAAGTAGTAAAATCCCTTGAATCCTCATCTGTGCGTTTATTCAGATGACCAGGCAGCTGCTCTAAGATGCAGATGAGGTAACCATGGCCGCTCGCCAGATTCAAGCCAATGACCCAGTGGTGAGTAATCCAGCAGGCCGTCTCCACCAATGCATATTTTAAATAAATCAACCAGAAAATGGGCTGTCAAATTCCAAGCCATAAATCATAAAGACAAATATTACCGCTTGAAACTGTGGCTATAAAATTGATACATGCTATTAACTAATGTCTGAATAGCAAGAAGGATCAGGTAAGGCATTAGGACGAAACTACAGCTTTAGCGGAGCTTTAGCGGTCATGCTGCAGAAAACAAACTCGGGACCCTAAAAGAAATCCTATTGTGTTTAATCTCCTGTAATTCGCAATAAAATCCCGCGGCAGTCTCGTCGAGGAGAGCGTTTTACAGGTACCCACGAGGGCCGTCATGTTATGTGGTTTTTTACTCTGAACTTCCACGCAGAGAAGCAGTGCTGCGAGGGACATGGACAGGACTGCTTCCTGGGAGCAGGGCAGGGACGACCCGTACCCACACCGGGTCCGGAGCCCAGGCTGCTTCGCTGGGGTGCCACGCCGCGGCTAGCAGCCCAGGCTGGTTCACCCCATGGAGAAGCCCCGCAGTGTCCGCCCTCGGAGACTCTCAAAGCACTTTCCACGCCTTTTCCCGCCACCCTCAACCCTCACTTAACTCCGGAGAAAGCTGGTGTCCGGTGACTTTCCCGGAATGACTGCTCCTCTCCTTGATTCTGTTAACTTTATAATCAAAGCCTGGGAGGAAACAGGCCGCTGCCGCGAGGCTCCACCTGTTCGCCCAGGGGCTGTGGGCATCGCCCGGTCGCGGGCTGTCCCCGTCCGCTCGGTCCGTCCCCTTCCCGGCCAAGAGCTCCGGGGTCCAGGCTGGCGCCAGGAACAGACTGGGACGGGGAGGAGGACGGAACAGGACGGGTGACAGCGGCAGGCGCGCAGTCCGGTCCGGTCCGTTCCATCCCAGCCGCGCCGACCCCTTCTCGCCGTCCCAGGCCGGACGGCAGCGCCAGGTGGAGCCACCCGCCCGCCCACTCGCAGGTGTCACCGAGTCGCCGGGACCCGGACTCGCGTCCTCGGAACCACCCCACACCCGGCAGACCTGGAGTCGCCCGTCCACCTACCGGGCCGGGCCGGCTTGTCCTCCGCGCTGGGCTCCGGGCCGGGCCGGGCGCGCTTTGTACCGGCGGGCGCGGTGTCGGGTTACAGCCGGGCGGGCGGGGCCGCCGCCTCCGGGGTCGGGCTGCTGCTCCCGGGGCTCCCTGCTCGGTCCGCCCGCAGCGCCGCAGCGGGACGGGCGCACCCGGTGCCGGGCAGGTCCTCGAGTCCCCCGCTGGTCCTCCGGTCTTGGTCAGCGTCCCTCGGTCTCGGTCCGGTCCTCCGGTCCCGAGCCAGTCGCACCCGCCCTGCCCCGTGCCCAGGAGCCGCTGTGCTCCGGGCGACCTCGCTCTGCGCCCGGAGAAAAAGAAGCCGAGCGCGTTGCCGCGAACCCGGCCGGCTCAGGTCGCCGCGCTCGGCCGGCAGAGGTCCCCCTGCAGGCGTGCAGCGCCCGGTTTCGCGTGCAGACTGCGGACCCACGCCCGGCCCAGAAGGCGCTCGCGGACACCCGCACCGCGGAAAGCCCAAACTGCATTGCAACCCTGGAGAACCCGGCAAGGGAACCGAATAGGCAGGGCCCAAATAAGATACGTGATTGTCTACAGCAGGAGACAGATGAACCAGAGATCCAAATGAAAGTCGAAAGGGGATGTCCCTCACACCTGTTAGAGTGGCTCTCCTCACAAGGACAGAGAGCTGTGTAGGTCAGGGTGTGCAGTGTTGGTAAGGATGTAAATTGGTGTAGCCATTTGTACCTTTGAGAACTAAAACTAGAGTTCTGGTCTGCTCCAGCAGTCCCTCCTCTAGGCACTTACCTAAAATACGTGGGTTCGTTATGTGGGAGAGATTCCCAGCCTCCGCTCCCTGCAGCACGATTGACAAGGGGCAAGTTATGGGTCAGCCGAGGCCACAGATGGATAGGTAGACAGGAGGGCAGATAGCAGATGATTGACAGGTGGATAGATGGGATATTGTGTTGCAAAACCTAGTACATGTGATGCGACTCCACTACGCAATGGAATACTGTACAAACTTCAAAATGAAGAAAACTCTTTCCTCCATGCCAGCATGGATGGAATTGGAGTATAGCGTGCTAAGGGAAATACATCTGAAACAAGAGCACAAATACTGTATGTTCTCACGCATATTGGGAATCCTACACACGGAACTGGTAGAGGCAGAAAGCCGAAGGGTGCATGCCAGAGGGGGCGGGAACAGAATTGTGGAAATGATCGCAGGCATAAGTAGAGGCTCAACACACAGAGATGCGTACGATCATTAACGATTATACCATTATTAGTTTAGAAGTATGAAGATATTAGAAACCAATTTGTCTACAGGTGAGAGCCAAAATAGAATTTAGTTAAATGTTTTAAGTTTCAGAGAACCAAGAAAGAAGCATAAGGTGAAGGAGTATCAAACAGTGCATTTATAAAGGAATTTAATTCCAAACTGAATTTTCAAAACCTCAGCTAAGTAGTCAGTCTCTTACACATACCTGTAAGGCTTTGGAGACCAGGACAAATGACTGAGATTTAATCACAGTCTGCAAAACTTGTGCCAAGACTCCCTCTATCTTGCTTGAATAAATATTGTTCTCAGTATGCCATGGGAGTTCAAAGGTATTTGCTTACCCCGAGCCAGGTAGAGTTGGACACACCTTGAAATGAATCATAAAAGTACAGACAGTTGTTAGGGAAGGAAGCCTCCCACACAAGGGCACCGTGGGGGGTACAGCCTCCCCTGGGGTCGACACAGAGTGGAGTTGGAGGGTGGATTAAGTGTCCTTAATAAAAGTACCCCCACACACAATGTTTCCAGCACTCTTTACCTAGGCTACAGTCTGTGACACCATGCTGACAGCTGAAAACAATGTGATCTGTTTGGAAGTCATATGGGAAGAGATGACAGTAAGCAAATTTGCCAAAGTAGTAACAGCTAAATTTAGAGGGGACTAATTACACATCTGCCCCTATTTGTCCCTTTTAAAGTGTCGTGCGGAAGACAGTCAAGTTGAAATACTTAGGGGCACCTTTAGAAAGCCCATAGCTTCAGTGTTTATTTACTTTGTTTCTATCGCTCTTGCTTCTCCTGGAGTGGCTCAGAGACCAAGCTGGTCAAACAGGTCTGAGTGCAATTGCTATCTGAAGGGCTCTGAGTTGCCTCTGTCAGGGTTGCTCCTTAGTTCTCAGTAGGCCTGCACGCGTGTCTGCTTCACTCCTAGTCCCTGACTGTCTGCAACCTTGACCTTCTTGTCTGGAGTGCAGTACGGGCTATGCATCCCCACCTGCACGACCCCTGGGAGGGAGCACAGTGAGCCAGGGACCGTGCTTTCCACTGTTGGTCAAAAAGAAAATTCTTCTTGTTCACGTTGCTATATACCTTTGTCATCTGAAACCAAGTAGATGCCTGTTATAAAATTTGAAGTTTAGATCTTTAGTAATTCTTTAAATGCCTTTAAACATCTTGAATATAGTAAGCTGCCATATTTCCCAAATCAATCAAAATGAGTATATTACCTGTCAGATGTCTATAGAACAGTATGTCAGTATAGCATCTGTCAAGTGGAACAGTGCAGAACTGAGAATGTGTAAGTGATGTTCCTTTGGTATAGAAATGTGCTGTGTGTAGGTCAAAAGGAGCGAGTGCATTCTCACTGCACACGCACTCCTCGAGGGGGTGAAGCGCTGACTCTGTCCATCTCCTCCTCCTTGGGATTTTCCAGCGGAAGCCCCCCGCACACATACATCCTCAAGACTCCCACCTCCCGCCCATCAGCAGGGTGGAGACTTCTCTGCGGCACCTGCAGGTCTGACTACCTTTGTGCTCTTCTTGAGCTTCAAGTTCCTGGCTAACAAGGGGCGTTTACACCGGGCAAACAACTCCGTGTCCTGGCTGATGTCTTCTCCTGAGGAGGAGCATAGGACGCACTCAGAAGACTGGAAAGATAGCGACTGCTTCTTCTGGTTAACTGAGTTAATTTTAGTCATGAAACTTAATGCTTTGAAATTTCAAGTGACACAAGACTCTGTAAAGAAAGACAAAATCTCACTCCTCCATCAAACACATGACAATGTGAGATACAGAGTGCTAAATGTCAGATTCACTCACACCCTTTTCCGTGCTGTGCTGTGGCCCTTGCAAAGGGTCCGTGGATGCTTCCCCTGGAAGGACGTGTACGGCAGCGGCAGCGTGAGGCGGGGCAGGCGGCAGCAGCAGATGTCTTACAAATATTATTTATTCTAATGTCCATAAGAGTCCTAAAAATAAGATGTAAGTATGTGCATTACACAATAAAGAAAGCTAATTCAGAATTTTGGGACACCTTCCGGCACCTGGACCCACAGCCCAGGACTTCGAGTCCCATATATTCCCTACCGTCTACGATTCCTGGGTGCATTGATGGAATGAAAGTCTAAGAGATAGCAAAGGAGAGCACAGACCTTCATCTTCCCCCAGGCTCTGTAGTTTTCCAACGTCTTCTACTTTGTTGGGTGAATACCAGATTATCTCTCAGAATCGCATAATAAATATGGGCATCATATCTCCATTATGAAATTACACACAGCTTGAGAACAAAACCAGCATCTAATTCTCCTTAGCATCTTTTAGGATACCCAGAAATGAGATGATTGATGTCCAGCCCAGACTCCAGGGGAAGGAGATGGAAGGAAGATGGCAGAGGGGAGGAGAGGGCAGTGGCCTTGATCTGAGCTGGCGGAGATGGCCGGCAGCCACCCTTGTTCTCCGGTCCGGCCTCCCTTTCTGGAGTCGTGCTTTCTCTCCCACACGTGCCCAGGCTGCAGGACCCCTTGTCTATTGGCCGTCTTTCTGTTCTCTGGCCGTAGTAGCATGCCCTACATCCCTGTAGGACTTTGCACCCACCCTTTCCTCTCCTGCAGCTCACCCCTACCCACCTATTCTTATTTGAGCCTCACTTCCAGCACATCCTGGTACATATTCATTTTCTGTTATCCTCAGTAAAATTCTTCAAATTCTGGATGTCATGCATATAGTAGTAATCAGGCTAGTTTTGACCAAGGAGGGTTTTTTTTTTTTTTTTTTTTTTTGTGGAACTGGGGATTGAACTCAGGTGCTTGCGCTTGCCAGACAAGTGCTTATTCTACTGAGCTATCTCCCCGGCCCCACCAAGGAGATTTTAATCTCTAATTCCTGACTCATTAGCTGCCCATTTTGAATATTTGTTGGCTTCTAGTCTTAGTTTTATTTGTAAAATGTGAATTAACTCAATGACCTTTGGGGCTGCTCAGACATGATAGTGTGTGACAACATCCCCTTGCTTCACGTTCCCCTGTGCTTGTCTCTCTGCTGCATCACTAAATGCTGTGATTCTGTGAAGCGTGTCACTACTGACTCTAGGACACAGGAATCAGGGGACCTTCCCAGAGAGCAGCAAAGGCCAACCTTGGTGCAGGAAGATAGCAGGAGAAAGGATGCTGAATTAGACGGAACATCTTTTAGTGATATTTTGTGGACCTTAAAAACCTAAATAGAATATTTTTTCATTGCTAGTGTGGTGTTTCAGCACATGCAATTTCTTAAGTAATCATTTTGCAAGTTTCATAATTTTTCTCCCCACAGGATGCATAAACATTATTATTCCTGCAGATGAATTTTAATTGTAGCTTGCATTTGTAATAACTGTGGGGTGTTCACACTGGCTTGATCCTTGACGGTGAACTGCTGTAGAAACAAATGGTGCATGTTAACATTGAATTCATTTTTTTAATTTAACTTTCAAAATTACTACTCACAAATGTGTTGGAGGCCTCTGGTTATGATTTACAATCAGATTCTCCAAAAACTATGTCATAGTAAAAATAAAAATAAAATGTGATCTTTTAAAAAGCTAGTAGTAGTTCCTGGCATAGAAAGGGAAAAGTTATCTATTCCAGAAATTTAACATAATTTTATTCCTTCTCATGTTTCTCTCTAGGTTTTTCTCAATCTGGCTTCTATTAAAATCTTTATTAAAATCCACAGGAATGCAATCTTCAAAGAATTAAATTATATACTAATAATATTTTTAGATTTTAATGTATTAATTCTGTTTATTCTGATCTCAATTTCTTTACTTATATTTAAGGTACAGATAATTTTAAATAAGCAATTTATAAAATCTAGAGTTAACTAATACAGTTATAGTAGTATGATTTTAAAAAATTGCCTACGGAAGTATTCTTTAATTTCTCCAAAAAAGTCCTTTAATGAGCAACTTCTTGGACTGCCTCAAGAGTTTCAAAAGATTCACTGATTTTCAGACAGTATTTATAATTTAAATGAAGAAGAATTATAAAACAGTAGTAGTGGTGAGCAGGAGAGCTCAGCAGTCTAAAGCGCCTGCTTAGGCAAGCACAGACAAG